ACACAGGCACTGCACAACACAGGTGCACTTACCTACATGCAGGCAATACACACATACACATAAATAAAAATAATAAATAAAAAATTTAAAAATAAATACAGTTAGCTCAATAAATATAAATTGTTTCTTTAAAGTTAAAAATTAGTTATTTGAATCAATCACAAATCACAGGATCAAGATTAGGACTACCTTTCAGACTTCCATGCCTAATATTTACAGAGACCTCCTCCTGAAAACAGGTAGCTTTGGGGACCCTCTCTTTGAGACTAATGAAGGTGGAGGGTGGCTGTGAACTTTTCAAATTCACAAGCTCCATAGGAACTTTTTTTTTCTCATGAGAGGTGATCATGGGACAAAAAGATGAAGGTAATCATTGGGAATGAAAGTAAAGGTGTATAGAGAGCATCAATGAATTGAGGCATGAGCATCAGGTATCTTTCTAGGGCAGTATACATACAGAACAGCGGAAGGATCATGTCTGTAGCTGAATCAGGTTGAGGGGCCCTATTCATCCACTCACTTAACATGTACATACTGTGTGCCCATGTGAACCTGACACTGTACTTGGCACTGGGAGTCACAAAAGTAAACAAGACAAATGAAGTCTCTACCTTCACACTGGCATACTCTCCCTTACCTATCATGTTAAAATTTATGTGGCTAGTTAGTCAAATCTGTGCCCAGAATGCCCCCCAAAGATTCTACTAGAGTGCCCTTAAGCACTACACACTGGAGGAAAGAAAAAAGGCAAGTGTTCGGAGTGAGCCTGCAGCTGGAACTCAATGCTTTCTTTAGCTAGAAGCAGCACTGCAGAACTCACTGGTTCTACGCTGTGCAATCTGTGGCTTGGGAGGACAGGGAGAGCAAAGGCTTCCTAAAAAAGCCTTATCAAAGTGTCCATTACCCAAGCCTGGGTTAACCAAAGGGCAATGGCCCCAGAGAAGAACACCATGTGAGGAGATACTGAACTGCCCCCGCTCTACTGTCTTGCTTCTAGACCAGCAGGAACCCTGCCAAAGGCAATCTTCCCAAAGCACTGCTTGGATGGTGGCATCAGCCTCTGTGTGGGAGTAGAATCTAAAGCACTGGGGATAGGCACCTGAGACCTTCTACATTGTGGGACTCCCATCAGTTCCCCTGCTGCAAATTTTGCTGGGCCCACTTTAACTGCTACTTTTTCCAGAGGCTGTGGCCCTCTCAGCAAGGAGAACCTCTTTTCTTTCACATTCTGCACAGGCCCTGAGTGTTTTCCCCACAGCCAGAAGTTCCCACTTGGCTACATAATCTATATTCTGAGGCAGGATGTCCTTTTTGAGAATAGGGATTGTTTACGGTTTCTATCTCTTCTCAGTACCTCCACATTTACAAAATGTAATACCAGGTCTTTTACCTATCAGGGAATTCACTTCATATTCAAATACTATTTTTTCTTTTTTGTCTTTTTGAGACAGGGTCTCACTGTAGCCCCATTTGGCCTGGAATTCACTGTGTAGACCAGGCTGGCCTTGAACTCAAAAAGCTCTGCCTACCTCTGTACCACCACCCCCAGCTATTCTAGTACTATTTTAAAACACTGGTCAACAACAGTTTTTCTCCACAGGCCATGTTAATGAAGCAGAAAAAAACTCCGATGTGAACTTAAAGGCGGTGTTGGTAGTCAATCTAAAATGTTTTATGCAGACTTTGGGAAACTCTGGAGATTTGGGCTTCATTTTCCCCTCCTCCTTCTACAATCCCACTTCTACCTCCTCAACTGTAGCAGCTATACATCCTATGACCTCCACTGCACCCCAATCTTATTCAGTGCCCAGCTAGCCTTCTAGATACCCTTGGATTCTTTTCTTCCATATTCTTTCCCCTCCCCAAATTCTTTCAGGATATCACCCCTGTTTGCAAAGCATGTTTCTCATGCAATTTCAGGAACTGTAAGGACATCCTTCTATTGAGAGTGGTGCTCCTGAGTCATGAGCTCAACATACTAAAAAATGAATACACAGTCTGTGATATTTAGGCAAGTTTCAACTATGTAACAGTAATTTCTAAAACCTAGTAATTCTATTTGCTGAGTTTTAGATTGATCTATTTTGCTGCCTTTGCTAAAATATTGTGGACTTTAATGTTATTTATAGATGGAGATGGGAAAACATTTATAGAGCAATTCTACGTTCCAAACATTGTAGTGGACACTGGAAATATGGACTTCATCTGATATTCACAATTACCCTAGCAGACACACAGTTCCATTTTGCAGATGAAAAACCTGAGGCCAATGAACATTGAGTTGCCCAAAATCATCCAGTTACTTTGTGCAGCTAGGATTGCACTATTGGGCCCTTCAGTACAAGGCTGATATTCTATCAGATATACCATGGTGTCCCCTTAAATAATACCCAGAAGTTCATTTTGACCAACTGGTTTTCCACTTTAAAATAGAGCCCACCAAAACGATGTAACCTCAGAAAAAAAGAATTTTTTTGCATTTCTAAGAAATAGAAGTACCATTGGGTCAGCATCTTATGTGGTTTCCTTTTCTTAAAGGGAGCATTGACTTGGCCCACTAAGTATTACTAGCTCAGCCATTATGGCATCACTATAATACCACCATCACCCAAATCAACTATGTTTCAAGATAAATTACAGCCTAAAGCCTTTTACTTCCACAGTTTTTTTTTCCCTAGAAATTAGGTACATGGTACAGTGAAGTGAAACCAGAAGATTCCAGATTTCATAAATATGTCTAGTCTTGAA